ATGGGTTTGGGGCTTCATTTCCAGATTGGTATTGAACCGCTGCAATTGCATTTAGGCCTCCTGGGACCTCCGATCCCGCAGCCAATTCCGCTCCTGCTGCTGACGAGCTTAGTATGTAGCCACCGCCATCTTTGATCTGAGGCATACCGCCTCCCTTGCTCTGTCATATGAAAGCTCTGATCGATCTCGGGCATCTGCTTCCCTCGCTGAGCTCAAAATAAAAACCTGTACAGCAAGACGAGCGCAAACAGGGCCTCGTGTGTGATTAGACCTAACGCCCTTTTGGGAGGCCCTATTTGTAACTTTTCTAAAGTCCGGGGACCTTTCTTTTTTATTCCAGGAAGTGGACGAGTTCCAGGATTCCCGTCAGATATCTATCACCCGGCCATGGCAAGTAAAGAGGAAAGGTCTTGGATTTCCAGCTGATGATGAGTTCCAATGACTCTTACTTACTATATTTTATTTCCCGACCCTTCAGGAGACTTCCACGTATCCCCCGGCTCTTTACCATTTGGCTTAGCGTATAAAGTCAGTCAGTCCGGGCAGAGCCCATTGTCAAATGTTGCAGTTTCCTTGTTGCCAGTAGTCGTAGGCGCTATGATAATTGCCCTCTTCCATTCAACAGAAGCGGAATGCCAAGATCTTAAGCACAGCACTTCAGATAGTGGCAGCAAAACTCCCCTTTCGGATCTCATTCTACAGAAAATTGGAATCATCTTTTCGTCTATAGTGGGATTGCAGGAAGAATTAGATATATATAGGGACTTTTCAAGTTTTTCATCAATATCCAAGCTGGAATCATAGCTTTCGCATCGGCAAGGAGGCGCTATATGTTAATAGCCCAGACTCGTCCCTTGNAAAAGAGGAAAAGCCTTTCTCAAGCTCATCTCAGATTCATTAAGGAATCAGACATAACCCGGTTGTCTTTGGATAAACAATATATGGCATGTAGGCATAGCTCCTCTTTCAGGTTTCAGGCTTTCAGGAGGGAATGTAGGCTCTCTTTTGGGCAGGCTGACCCTAGGTGAACTTCTCATGGAACCGGCCCACATCCAAAGAGGAGAAACTATGAAAAACCAGTCCACTTTCCAACTCCTATCTTTCTTCTTTCCTCTTCTACATCAGATTCGTCTTTCCCCCAGCTTCCCCTCTATGCCCTGCGGGGCCACGCCCTCCGGGGTTGACGCCAGGGAAATATGCTTTTGATAATGAAATATTGGTCTACGCCCTGCTTCCTAGTTCGAGTATGAGGAGCAAGAGCGAATTCAAAAAATTATCTAGGAGGATTCGTCTGCATCTGGTTAAACCCTTCCTAGAAAAATAGGTTCCTTCCTTTCCGGTTCGTAGTGGTTACGAGCAGAAGTGCAATTCAATTCGAATCAATTGCTTTGATATGAGATATGACGATAACGAGCCCTAGAGAACATCGCGTCAGCTCCCTTTTTCCTAGGTCCAATACGAGCTCCTTTACAGCGTATAAAGCAATGAAATCTATCGTATCATGATGCTCGGAACCCACATCAGGCTCAATAGAAGGACAGGCTGTCTCGGAAGTGCTTCCCTTATGCTAGGAGGGAGTAGAACCGGTATCTTTTATACCATACCCCGTATTCGTACTGAAATGATCCACCCGGCCAAAGCTTTGGCAATTCCACCATTAGGAAAGCACATGATATGTAGTATAGAAAGTAGTTCCTCTACGGGATTAGGCTCCGAGGTTTCGGCTTTTTCCTTGCTACGAAAAGGGATTCGTATATACATTCAATGGTAGTATCGGATTTAACGGCTTCCTTCCTACTAGCTAGATTAATACCAGCAACCATACCTTCCTATCCGGATAAAGGCTCCTCTAACAAAATCAAAGGTAATATCCTCCGTTTTCCAAGAAGAGAAGTTCTTCGGCAAAGGATGTCAACGGAACTGTTTCGGCAAAGGCTAAGCCCGGGTGAAATCCAATAGCGTATGGCGATAATGTCATCCCCACCGAATCCTAATCCTCATCTTCAAAGCAAGGCTATCCACCAGGGCTTCCAAAGCTAGGCTATCCTCGGCAAAGAACCAAAGGTTTGAAGATACTCGACCATACAAACGAAGCAAAGCGAAGTGAAGGAAAGGAGAGGGAAGGTTCAATTGACGATACAAACGAAGCGCAGTGAAGTCATAGAAGTTCGGTTTGAAGATGCTCGACTATAAATCCGAGGATACGAAGTTGAGTCTTTAATAGTTGAACGAACTAGATTATCTAATGGATCCACACAGCATAGGGATACCTATTTCATTCCGTCATTCCCGGAATGCCTCAAGGCAGATTTCTTACTTGCTATCAAAAGAAACTGGGACGGAACGAACGAAGTGCTAGGAAAAAACAAAACCTTGCCTTTTCGGATCCGTTCGCGTAAAGAGAGGCGAGTCAAAGAGAGACTGTTGAAACCCGATCTCATAAACTTCCTTTCATTCCTAATATCTTAACTTATTATTGGAAAGGTCTCTTCGCGGATAAAATACCAATTCAAATTACATGTTGTATCATAAGACTAGTAGGGCACTCACTAACTTTAGAGCCGTTTCTATGTTTTGAAACTTTTCTATCGTGGTGTTAGAACAGGCCCGTACGGGGGCGGCTTTCTTATGCGGGGCGAGCCGAGCTCATTAAATCAGTCCTAAGCGAAGGGTTGAAGGAAAACCAGCCCATATTTAGTAAAGGCGTGAAACCTACGCCAAGATAATCTTTTTATTCATAGTGAGGAATGAAGTCAAAACGCGAAAGGTAGGAGAGGGTGCACGAGACTGACGAAGCGAAGTGAGGGACTGATCGAAGCTACTGATGCGAAGCTTACTGACCGAACCGAAGCTAACGAGGCACGTAAAGGCGATACGGCGATACAGCGCACTTCGAGCAAGCAAGGGTTTCACAACAAAGGTGTGGTCTTGGCTTCCAGCCGCTAGCTACAATCGGTGATCGGGTACGCTTCGCTTATCGTTCGGGATACCTATGTCAGGCATCCCTTCTTTCCCAAGCTGGCGCCTCTGGACCGATAGGAAGATCGATGACCCGCATCCTACAACTTCAAAGAAGTATTTGTATCACACCCGAGCAATGGACCGGGGAAGGAGTTTCATTCATTTACGGAGTTTGGAAGCGAGGACGATCCAGGATCGACTGCTATCTGAAGAAGTGGAGTGAGGAAAATTGTCTTTTTCGGGGACTAGGCTGATTATTCAGCACCGGACAGGAGAAAGGGCAATTAAAGGGAAGGAAAGTTGGGAACCAACGGAAAATAAAGTATCATGTTGCTCCTCGGAAAACGCGTATAATAGTCTCATTGGCCAAAGTCAATGGCAAAGATCCTCCTCTTATGCAGGGGAGGTTGTGGAGGGTACCGTCGTCGACGATGACAAGGGACAGGTGCATGATTCAAGCGATTCGGTAAGGAAAGCTGTCAGATTAATTCTTGTTTACGTAGACGGGGTCATGAATTGTAGGTTTCTTAATTCTTGGATGCATTCGTGAGCAGGAATCTGTCAATGGGCAGATTGGTGGTACAAGAGCGGCTGCTGTTGGACATGGGGCGGCAGTAGCAGAGATTCGTCCAGATCTTCATGACAGAATCTGGAAATCACTTTATTGGGGTCCCCTAATGTGGTTTGGATTCATGTGCAGGACGTAGCTGAGGACCACCCTGAGGAGACTTGGTGGAAGGTAGTGGCGACAGCCAGGAAGATGGAGAGCAGGACAACGCCCATGCTGCAGATGAAGAGGGGGACCGGCTTTCTGCAGTCGGATTTGCATCGGATGGGAATGTTTCAGGCGATGAGGAGGATGATGCGAGCAGCTGTGTGTCCAAGAAAAGGAGGACACAGTAGTATGCGTAGTCAGTACAGCAGCGCCTTTTGGAAGCTTTTGTTTCGTCCACCAGTGAACACTGATAAGCTCATCGGCTTGGATAATCCAGTCCATGAAGATAAGTAGGGGGGTCCTTTTGTTAATGATGGCTAGTTGATTAGGTAAAGACTAGATGTTGGTTACACCAGCTAGGAAGATCTGGTGAATTGTAAAATGCGCACGAGGACAGTGGTTAGAGAGAGTCAGGGAGTTATTGGTAAGGGCACATACTTCTAGGGGAAGGGTCAAGCCAGAGGCAGAGGTATAGCTATCAAGTAGAAGTCTTTCGCTGGAGCAAAGATGGTCACTGGAAATTGTTATCGAAACCTGACTTCTATGCGAGGCGAGGCTGTCAAGTCTTCGGGGAAGAGAGTCACTCTCTCCCAAGGATCTTACGCTATAAGACTCGGTACGACTACAGAGCCTACTAGCTCGCTTTAAAGAAGTAGCTCGGATAAGAGCTAGAATAGAAGAAAGAATACTAAGGAAGGATATTCGAGACAAAGCCCTCAAGAGCACGGCACACTAACTATATTTAACAACCGATATGCGAACATCCTTACCAGCAGCTTCAGAGGGCAGGGAATTCAGACTAGATTCATTAGTTGCATGATTGGCCGACTAAGACTATTTTATTTAAAGAGCGGATTCCCTCGAGAATGGATCTTTCACTAAGTGATGAGGTTAAGTCCACAGCAAAGCATGCCGGACAAGCCTGTTGTCTTCCTTTACAATCCAACTGAAGTAGGAGTTACTGAAGCATTTGCCAATCAATTGATTGTGAGGTCTGGCCTGTGATTAAAGAGCTCCAATCAGCTTTGAGATAATGAATTTCACAAAGCCAGTTCCTTCTTCTTGTGATGAAATGAAGTAGCTAGCCCAAGAGCTAAACCCTATTTTTTTTTCTTTTCTTGAAAGATTGCCCTCTTTTGACCGTTTAAGCCTTTAGGAACAGAAGGTCTTCTATTCGCCCACGTATCATAATACACTACACCGCGAGATCCCCAGCTCGAGGAGAGGACCATTCACTTTTTGAAAGCAGGTCGAGGAAAGCTCTAGGGAAGATGTAGTGTTACCAACAAGGTGCAATCATCTCATGCTATGAATATAGATAGGCAATCAGCTCGCGAATAGGCATTTGGTGTTACGCCTTTCGATGTTCTGGAAATCCTAATCAAAGTAAAGGGCTTGGGCTTGGGGCCCTTCGAAGTACATCCGAAACGAGTCTATCCATCTCTCGTCCTGAATGAGGAAAAAGGCAAGAGACCCACTCTGTTAACATTTTCTGTTGTTCACTTTTTCTTATACCGCCTCTGTCCAGTACTGTAGTACTGTCACCCTGTTTCTTCCAAATAGCAGCACAAGGCGCTTATGCCAAACAAGCCAAGCGGAGGCATCGATGAATGAAAGCCAGTTGTTGACCGGCTAAACCCTTCCAGGAGAATAATATATCCATTCTTCATCAAGGCTCGATGTAATTGACCTCAATCAGTTGTTTCAAAAGCAGCTATTGAAGACCTTGGAACCCTACCCGAGAAGTAGCTCCAAGAAAGGGGTGTCCCCATCCATGCCTTTCCGAGCAACTAGTTAAGAGAGTCAGGGCAGTCTAAGTGAAATCCGTGGGGCCAACCCATAAGATCAAGGTCTTTCCTCTGTATCTGTAGGGCTCTCAGAGAATCAGATATTATGTATCGGGGCTCAGAAAGACTCTCCGGAAAGTACAAAGTACAATGTCTAGTTTGTGAAAGCCTTTCAAACTAATCCCTAATACCTTGATTCTTCACATGAATGTGCTCCACCCTTCTTTCCCAAGCGATTCTCTTCTGTCTGTGGTGTCACCTATTCTCCCTTGCGGAAGCCCAATTCTTCCGTCTTCCTTCTCGTCAAAATGCAGGGGGAATAAAATAAAGACTAGATCGAGTAGGTAGGCTTGATAGATCTACATTCTGCCATGCCAGATGAAACAAGAAGAAAGAAAATGTTACTCACTGATCCTCTTGTCGGAAGAGGGTGTAGTACCTATACTCGCTTTCATAAGAGGAGGGAGGTTGGTAGCCACAGAAGTCAAAGCTGGGATGCCTGGTATTCTGGAAATAGCAGGAAAGAATCTTATATCTAAAGCAGGCTTTCCTGGTTTGCCACTCAATCAGAAGTGTTCTACTAATATAATAGGTTGATGCTTTCGCTTAAGCAAATGGTGCTTGTCCCGTCTCCTTTTGGGCTGGGCCCATTGGTAGCATAGGAGAACCCGACGGATGTCCCTGTATGCAAATGTCCAAGTTATGAATGATACCTTCAATAGGTAACCTTTGTCCACTGCCAACCATTGCTTTTAACTTAGCACCCGCAAACAGAAATGGAGCTGTGAGGGAAGGGATTGAAGATGGAAGGGGCTGTTTTCGTAATTTAGCGGGAGCTGCTGCTAGTCTTTTCGACCATGAATCTCTAGAAGGGCTTACAAGAAGCCGAGAAGGATACTCCAACGGCATAAACTGCTCTAGCTGAGACGAACCCATCCGAGCAAAAAAATCTGCACACCTGTTACCTTCCCTTCTCTTACTTAGATGGCACGTGAACAATCTGAACCTGCCAATCCCTACTACGAAGAGAGGCAATGTCTTTTATCCTTTTATCAATGGCTGCCTTAAAAGAGACTGCTACTGCTGGCTCGATAGAGTCTGGAGATTTTAGATGGAAAGAGATAGACAGGGACTGCAGGATCAGGATAGATAGGCTTGCTTTAAGACTCCAACAGGCTCCTTTGTACCGCTCGTAACTGGAAAAAACGAAGAAAAGGGAACTAACCTGCACTCTCTTGTCTGGAATGGACCACTCGTCGCATGGCTATAGTATAGTATCTATAACCAACCCATTCTCTCGCTCGGCTGGATCGACATGAACAAACAAAGGAAGGGGGAATAGCTATCTTATTCCCATCTACTCCAGTCAGTGTGAGAGTCGAGTTCAGAGGAGCATCAGCCCACACAAAAGGTCTTATATGGTTAATTCCTCGCTTGGCGAATCTTCCTCTCCTATTAGCTTACCTTGGCTTCGTGTTACCCTGGTCCTCTCGAACCAGCTACTTCATGGATGGCCTCAAAGAGAATTTATTAAGAGAACCTTCGCTGGATAAGAACTTTGAGTCAATGAATTAACGCCATTCTCCCTTTTTAGTCAGAAAGCTAGTGGCATGCTTACCTTTACTGGCATCCACTCCCGATCCACTTGTTGCTCGCTTGCTTTCGCTCCTCTCCTTCAATCGGGCTATGTGAGGTTACCGAGGAAAGTCATGCGAAGAATGAATCTCTCGTCCTTTCCCTTTCAGGAACGAAATAACCCCTCTCGAAAGGGAAATCAACTAAAATAGTAATTTCGTATATTAATATGAGTTATGTGTTCAAGCAATGACACAGCTGATTCTCGTCGATCTTCCTGGTCCTGGCTTCCTTTGAGGTTGGTGTCTTTGAATCCGATAAAGTGATTCCCGCTCTATATGCTTGATATCGTCTAAAGACTTGCCTGAGCACTGACTTGATCATAGAAGCAGCCTTCTTTAGGGCTATTTCCTTTTGATTTCGTTGGTTAACTTCAAGCTGGATTCTTTGTAACTTCTTCTTTCTCGTCTTCAACACTAGGTCTAAGTAGTATTGCTTCCAAACCTCAAGCAAGCTAAGGCAAAGCAAGGAAAGGGTCACCGAAGTAGGGGACCGCAGCTAGCGAAGTGAACCGTTAGAAACCGGGGTATAAATAACAACAAGTCAGGCATGAAAGCCAAGAAAAAGAGAGGAAAAGTCATCCTTCTGACAGACAACACAAGGCCGTTAAGCTTGATAGTGAGGACTGCGGCGCGTAGGAACATTACTTTTAAAAAGAACAGCTCTTCACAATTACATAGTTCCTGACTTTACGAATACAAAGGTTTTATTATAGCAATTCATCATCGGAAGAATATCAATCATCGGGGCAATCCAGAGAGCGACGAGATTCAAAGATTTCCCAGGCATTAGATAGAGAACCTAGGAAAGAGCGCTATCCCATCTATCAGGGCGAATGCTTTGTCGAAGCGGGAAGAGTTCATCAAAAGTCTAATACTAAAAGAAGAACTGAACCAGCGCTTATGACGTCATAGGGGTCCCAAGAGCATTAAGAAGAAGGGGGATGTAGCTTACCTTATTATTAAACTCTAATAAGGGGGGCGCAAGAGGGCCCACTCGTTGCCCAGAGGTGGCGCCAATGCCTACAGCTAGCACCTGAGATTCTCATATATTTTTGAAATTGAAAGCTAGCAATAGATCAGGTGGGCTTCCCCTATGCAATTAACAGAAAGGTAAGTTCCGCTAAGGGGTTCTTGCTTGATCTAGCATCTTTATATTATTATATATGTTTCTTTTATGCTCATCAATGGGAAATTACCGAAAAAGGAATATGCTTAAACGTCCATTTTGGTGAACATCAGATTGAGAACCCGAACTCATTCCCAGAAAAATCATGCATGAACGGGGATATCAGGAAAAGAGATCCAAACAGAGGCTTCCTCCTCTCCTGACTTCTTTCTATATAGGGCGAGCCTTGACTTCTATCGATGGAAGTTTTACTATTGGATTGAGGAGAATCGAAATAGAATAGTCCGTTCTTGTGAATGACTCCGAAGCTATTTCTATTGTTGAAGAAGCATTATTAGCGGGGATAGAGAAAAAGGGGAATAATAATGCTGCTAAGATCCATTTAGCTCTTGAGGGAAGAGACAAAGCATTGGTCTTTTCATTCCTCATACCATCAAAGGGAGGAGAAGCCGATTCTCCGAGCAGGACGGATTCCTTTACTGTTGATTCCGATGCCCTATATATAAATATTCGAAATGTATTCTTTGATCCATTCCCTTGCGCTTGAGCTAAGGGACAGGTGGGATTGATGTCACTAGGCTTAATGGAATTGGTGCCAAAGGCTTTCGTCAGTCCTAAAGGATATCGCATAGCAACTCCGTGCATTGAAGGCGGAGATCCTATTTCTGTTTTGAGGGAATGATTTTAGCACAAGAAATGTTGTAATACAGAAGAGGGCTAATGCCCCATCTAGTGTGCATCTTAGGAAGAGAAGTGGGCAATTCCGCTTATGTTATAGGGGAGCACTCTTCTTTCATAAGCAAATGTACTTGGTGGCCAAACCAACCCGGCATTCATTTCATCGGCTCAGGGTCGATGTAATTGAGAAAGCTAGTCAGTCTTTTTTGAGCTCTAACTTCCAGAGATTTGGATTACTTGCTTTGTTTACTGCAGTGGCCACGGAGACGGAGGAAGAGAACCGCCACACCACCACCTTCTTTCCTCGATCCAGCTACCTAGCTCTGAATCCGATTGCTTTAGGAACTTACCGAAATATTAGGATAAATGCCTGAGCTATTAGAATTGGAACGAACTCCAACTACACTTACCCAGGGGGTTAGATATCCCTAGACTCTGAAGATAGAGCAAAGGAGTAAGCACTTGACTAGATCTGCTCCTGACTGAGATATATATTAGAAAGTTCCAGATTAGAGATCAGGACCGATGCTTGGCTTTTTGGTTTCGCACTTGAAAGGAAAGTACCAGAAGAGCGGGTCAAATAGCTTTAAAGAAATGTACTGATTTGGCTCCTCTCTTTTTATAGTTGTTTAGGACGGATTTACACTAAGACAGAAGAGTTGGCACTTTCAAAGAAAGTCCAGTACCTGAAGATCTGCTTATTTACCAGTCAGCGATTGAGAATTTAACTGTAAAGAGTTCGCTTTCTGCCTTCGACTCGTACCTCGGGTACCAAGCCTCATCAAATGGCAGGACTGAAAGCGATGGCAACAATTGCATAATTGCATAAGAAATGTACAGATGAAATGTCCAGATTGCGCACTTCGAAGTGGAAGACTTGGAAGATTACCCGAGGTCGAGATATTCCATTTTATGGTTAGGAAAAGACCCCTGATTGCGACCCCCAGATTTCTTTCCAGAGAACCGATTCTAATTCTTCCAACGATGGATCGAGGTACATCAGATCGGAGATTGGAAAGCGATAACATCAGGGTATTTCGGAGATTATCCAGGTCATCCGGTTGAGGAATAGAAAGACCTGAGGAAAGGGATCGGTTCGCATATAGTATTGCAGAGGAGTAGAGGCAGTTGCACCTTTCTCAGTATCAGACGGATCTGCCATTTCTTTCCTGATCTGGTTGAGGAACAATAACTGGAGCGAGGTTTCGGAGTTGAGTTGAAGAGGGCTCCTGTCTTCCAGTAGTTCGTTCTGTCTTCTGGGTTTGCTTTGGAAGAATAACATAGCAGGAGCTCGTTTTGCGATCGGTTACCTCGGGTTAGATTAGCCGGAGTGGTGAAGTCAAATCAATTTAAGATAAGAGCTAAGGAGTTGAAAGCTGGAGCCTTGGCATCTGCCAATTTCTATCCTGATCTGGTTGAATAATAACAGGAGTCGGGAAACTTGGCATAAAAGCCTGGATCCGAGCTGGCAAGCGGGAAAGTAAGATCGGGGTAGCAGTATGAGGTACGAAGCGGAGATGGATAAAATCGCTTCTTTTATTTTACATGTGCGCCTTCGTCGCGTAAAAGAGATTATGATCTTTTTTGTGGTCAACCTGGAGTGATGAGGAGAAGAGGGAGCGGGTTTTACAGTCCTTCGACGAGCAGACAGGAAAGAGGTCAAGCGGGTAGTACCAGGACTCGGATCAGAAGCTGGGATCGGAAACCGGCGAGCAAGTAAACTGCCCTTGGGCAAGAGGATTATTCAGGTCTTGGACTTGGAATCGGGTTGGGAAAGCGGGGTTATCGAGTAGGTCCTACGAAAGGAAGCCCTTTTCTTTTAGTACTTTTAGTAGTGAGGTTGGGACAGAGGAAAGGCTCGTACCTCGGGTATTGACGCTCCAAAGAAAGCAAGCCGCCTTTCGCGCGAGAAACTATTTACCTAGGGAAAACCAACGAAAGAGATTTTTACGATTGATGAATCAGAATTCATATTTGTATCTACGCTGGTGTTAGAAATGGGGGAAGGGCTCTGAAGACAAGGTACGAAACTGGGGAGACTCGACAAGGGAGTGAATTACCAGTCCTGACAGCGAACTACTAGGCAAGGAAGAGACCTTGGGTTGGAAGCCAGAAACCAATGCGCTCTCAAGAGAATGACAAACAACTCCTCTATCCCCACGAGAGATCTGTTTATGACGAATCATACACAAGCCCTGACAAACGCACGTTTCTCTTACCAGCATTTCTAACAAGGATTTATGACACTACGCGATTGACTCCTGTGGACGGACAAACGGTGTAGCAACTCTATTCCGCTCTAATGCCATCTTTCGGCTTCTCTATTCATTCCCAAGCGAAAGGGCCACTCCTCTTACTTGTTACTGTTAGCGAGTGAAGTGTTAGCAAGGGAGAAAAAACTACACAAGTGCGGTACAAAGTCTGAGATCGTATTTCGACAAAGAACCGATTTCGCTTAAGGCGTTTATTACTTACTAAGTAGTCAAATTCTACTTATTGTCTCAGCATTCCAAAAGCTACACCAACCGATGCTTGGCGCTTCAGCTCTACCCCTGCGCTTGAGGTTTCCCTCGATCGAGAAATAGAATATGGTTAGCAAACAGACCCCAACCCCGAGATTTCTATCCAGAGAACCCATTGAAACGATGATTTACCTATGAGGAACTCCTTTCTCTTGTTTTGGATATATGTTATTTGAGAACCTCCTACTAGGGGATTTCAGAAGTTCCACAGATTGATTGACAACATATTTAGTTAAGCGCGCCAGGAACAGAGAGAGAGAAAGTGGGTTGACTCCCTCCCGCTTTGACTTGACTAATCTTTCTTACCTGATCGACCGAAAGCGAGAAGTGGGCAGTGGGCACAGGACTCGTTCATTCCATAGATATGACCAGAGGATATTCAAGAGGAACTCGCTTGACTTGTCAACTTACTAGCTATGAATCCACTTTCAGAGAGTTGACTGACTCCTGTTTTGTCTTGTCGACTTTATTCGATACATCCGAAAAAAAGATCTTTTTTATGGTTATGCTCCTCTATTCCGAAGAGTGAGGGGTGGATCTTGGCAGCCTAAAGTGACTGCTGAAATGCCAATAGAGTTGATTTCGGGAGTTGGAATACCCCAGAAAGGACAGATCGGAGTAAGCAGAGTAAGCTACTGTACTCTTCCTGGTAAGCTGGGCATCGGGGTTGAGCACTTCAAAGTTGAATTCCAGGTTTGGACCACTTGAAGACGCAGATACTGGAAGTTTCGTTGACAGATATTGATTGGATGTTGAAGAATAGCTCTGAAGCTCAGCCCCTCGGTCCGAAACTCCAACTCTAATTATCTAGTCGTTCTTAGAACCAAGGAACCAAGGCACTTCGGATCTTACCGAGATTACCAACTTATCAAGGCGAGGGGAGGCGTTTCGATCGATGGGGCTCAGAACAACCTTATCTTGACCTTGGCTTGAAGACGCAGACGATAGGAGTTAGCTCATAAGCTGAGGACAGAAGCTGGGTCAACTGGACAACCATTGACTTTACTGTCCTCTGATCGACAAGCGAAGAAAGCGAGATACCAAGAAGTCATGTCTCATGTTTTGCTTGTGTTAAATATATGGTTAGCGATTGAGTTGGATTCTCTGTGAGTGCTTTCCTCCTCGTTCGGTCGTTCTCTCGGGGGCTAAGCCTAATAGGTCGGACTTCTAGCGCATACTCTTACTATATGATAAAAGAGAGCATCAATTCCCTGAAAATGCCTAAAGAAGTTGGGGTTTTCGAAGGAATGGAAATTCTAGATTGAGTTCTCTTGAGACTCGCTCTTCCAGTCCATCGATTCTTAGACTTCTCTTACACCCCTTAAGTAAGTCTTAAAGCTAAGGATAAGATTCAAGGGCCTTCTATTTACTAAGAAAGCTTCGCGCAGTCCTCGTTTCGGTCAGTCAGATTCGTAGTAGCTAATTCCTTCTCTTGAATGAGCTCCTATAGGAGCGACTGATCCCTCTAGAGAATTGACTAGAACCTGTCTCTCGCGGAACACCTACCCAATCTTTCTTGCTTGATTTCCTTCTTTCTCACTTCATCAGCTTTCTTTCGTCTTCTAACAAGGGTACGACATGACCAGTTATTCCTGACACCCACGCGTATTGAATACAGTTGTTAAAGGCCCCGGCTTCCGAAAAGCCAATAGACTACACAGGATTTGCCACTGTACACTAAACACATACCTGCATGACTGCTATTCCTTTCCCGAAGGCTAAAGAATGCTCCCTAGCTATAGAACTCTCCTCTTTGGTTCGACTCCCGCTTCTTTGGACTTCTACGGACAACAACTCTAACAACGAGGGCTAAGATCGTCAAGAGCAGCATGTTAACCTGTAACCCGAGGTACGAGGCCGTAGGGCTAGTCGTTATCCATCAAGTCCTTATCATATCGCTTTGAAGACTGGAACTCAGAAACTAGCCTATTCGCTTAGCTGCCCATTCATCTACCGTAGGGCTTATCAAAGGTTAGTCCTTTTCGCTCAAGAGATGGAGTCCTTTCCCTTGCCAGTATGAGGCCTTAGCTACCAGTAGAAGACCTTGCCGTTAGAAGACCCTAGCTACCATTCTATTCGCTTCGAACCCTAGGAAGAGTAGCTCCCATTTACTAGACCTTTCTCGCTAGACTCCTATGTATCGATCTTCCTTCGGTGTGTTGAATACCCGAGGTACGAGCCCTTGTCTTGCTGGTCTGCCTACTCGATCCACTTCACTTACAACATTATCAGAAACCGAGGTGTTCAACTGCAAGTTAAGTCATAGGTGAAACCGAGGTACTTCTAGTGCTTCAAGTCTTGTCTTTCCGTGCACACTATACGCTGGCTTGCTCGTTTGCTTGCTGCGTTGATCGCTACGTGCTAGCTCTTCTCCCTTAAGTGTAAAGTCTTTCACGCACTAGTAGCGTACTGGCGAGCTGGCTGGCTTGCACTGGAATACCAGTCTTCCAATACCTTGCTGCCTACCTTTCCACAAGCTAACACTTGCACCGACAGCCGATCTTTTACTTACTCTCGATCAACATACATAGCACTTCAACAGGAGCGAGGTACGAGTCGGTCCTCATCTGGAACTTTCCTTTCGTTGCTTGAGTTCTTGGCTCTTAAATAAGGATAGATTTCTTCTATCTATATAGGAGTAAAAACCAGTCTGCGATTGCGAGTCTTTATCGAGATGGGTAGATTAAATAGTGTACCGCACCATGTGTAGTGTGCATTCCTCACTACTAATACTAATAACTTTCTATCAAGTCGTTTTCCCGATCCTGGATTTCGACCAACGGCTATAGCTAGATCGGATAGAAAGAGGATTCGTGGGTTCGAAGGCGGGATTCAGCATTTAAAGAATAGTAGTTATCGTGGAGTGGCGTAGTTGGTTAGTCGATCTCTCCGGTTTCAGATGAGCTCTTCTTCCAAAGGCGACTAGTCATTTCCAGACCTTCGGAGTTAGCAATTATTAGACGAACGCGTAAACCCTTTTTCTTGATCCCTTGTATCCCCCCCCCGGCATCTCCCTTGAGAAGTTGGTGGATTGGGGATTCGGTGAGTTAACGAGTTGGTGAGTTAGGCCCCTCTTCTGGGAGTTGTAGTCCTTTATATTAATAGGGCCCTTGTAGAAGGAATCGCCATCGCGAAGGCTTGAAGGATTATCGAAGAAGACCCTTCTAGGAATTGGTCGAATCGAGAACCCGTACCTCCTTTACCTTCACCAACCCCAACGGACAGATGGAAGCGGGATCGGAATAGATTTCCCAACGGAAAATTTCTCGTTCAACCGGATCCCTTAATCAGACCAGTATTATCCGCAATGGCAGGATCGAGGTCAGAGGAAGAAGCCTGATCCTTTGCAATCACAAGCAACGGGGCAAGAACGCAGGTTTCTCATATTCTCATATATAAGATGGGTGCCAGGCTCGAGGTTTGAATCCCTTCAAGAGGAGGGAGTGGGCGACACGGCCAACTGGCTGATTCAACAAGTTGATACCAACCAATCGGATCGTAGGACTTTGAAACTTTCCTAATTGAAACCGGTGACAGATTTTTTGAATTATATAGCACAGACTCCAACCAGAATTGTTTCGCGAACTCACACGCTCCGAGTTTAGACTCGAGAGTCTTTCCAACAGAGACGTCAACACCAAGGCCGCTAATCAGCCTTCTGTACTCCGAGTGCACACCTTCATCAGCGATGACTATGTCATCACCAAGAAGGGCGTACTTGCGAAATACTCTACCCGGATAACACAACTCTGCTGCTACCCACACTACCAAATGATGCGATAGCGTGAATAGAGGCCAAGAAGAGTACAATCCCAAGGGTTGTCCCACTTCGAAAGCCACTGGCTCCTTACGACTATGAAGCCAAGGAACTTCAAAGTTATGATACTGCAGCGATTCGAGAACCGCTGTAGCAACAAACTCATTACCAAATAACCGCTTAACCATCTCGAATAATAACGAAACTGGCCAACGGTCAGTGGCATTCTTCAGATCAACTTCAAAGAAGGCTCCACTTACATTCCGAAGTCTCATGAGAGGCGTGGATTGATCAAACGTCCCATCCATAGGGATAGAACGAAGGATTTCCATCAGCCAATTATGAAATGGGTGTAAGAGCCTTTGATAGATATAGTTTCCTATGGCAAAGACCCTCCTCTTCCCGTCACCGACACAGACCTGGCTAATACGGCCAAGAGTCGTATAAGACCCATCGGGGTTTCTAACCCCTCTGATATCTTTCATCAATCCGTTTAAACTAGGAATATCTATTTGATACCACGCCAGAGTTGCGCTGAGAATATCAGCTTCCTCTTTTGTTCGATCTCTTAAACATCCAGCAATTGGATAAAGTACGTACTCATCTACTAAACGAGGAATAGATGACGCATCGTTACCGACTCTCCAACCAGACCTCCACTGTTGAACAGTATAAGTACTGGCTTCCAACCACAAAGCTGCAAAAGATGAGCGACTCATTCCTTTTGGCAAGCGATTTATGGCTCTGCAAGACCACGACGGCATGTACTTCAATCCCAAGTGCAAAGGGACCTTTTCCATGAACGGGACATACCGACGCATAACCCTAGGCATCAACTTAAGAATTTCTCCGATTGTATCAGAGTACTTCTTTCTGTTACGCTCAGGAGTTACGATAGGATCAATAACATCCACAGACAATTTCTTCGCCTGAAGAATAATCTTCGACAGGGAGAAGAGTGACATGTAGAGTCGTATGACCTTATGATCACCTTTACGAATCGCCTTACGGTGAAACGATGGGATGATCCGGGGAATACCTGTGCGTGTCAGTGATATCGCCGTAGAACACACCTTGATGGGTTCACCCACACCAAGATAGTACATCAGACAAACCTTACACTGCTTCAAATACAAGGCAGTAAAAAGATAGCCTGACTTCCTTATGAGCCTACGACAAGACAACCAAAACAGATGGGCAGCAATGCACCATTCCTTTGTCAAACCATCCAGGAGAGATAAAACGGCACTTAATAAAGATAGATTTTCTCACTCGTACGTCTTCCAAAACTCCCCGCCAAGATCTTTGACGAAGAACTGTTCTAACAGAGCGAGACGAAAACAATTTCAAAGTTTTTGTCATAGCTTGTTTACACAAATTCTAAGTCAATAAAGGTCTCTCGCCTTGATGGAAGGGTGTTTCACCTTCCAGGGGGTGGCCCTGAAAGTAGTTAGCTTTCAGAACTATGTATCCGTTCGCGTGTGCTAGCGGACACAATAGTGCAGGTTATATAGAGATGTAAATAAATACCCTCTATATTGCCCAAGCATGAGTCATACGAGACAGCTCTCGCAATCCTCAACGGGAAGGTATTTGAAAATAGAATAGATAAGGTCTTAACGAGCCACTCTTCTCAGTCTTCATTCCTCTCCTTATCAGTTGCTCGATGGTACTGAGTCTAAAAAGGGATAAGTTCAAAATTCCTCCCTTGCTGAACCGTATCCCTTCCTGAAAGAACAATTCAAGAATGATTCAAACTCATACCCTCTCTCTGATCGACGCTGCTCGTTGACCGGCTTTGCGGGACCGCCATAAGGCCTGGTCCACGCGAGGCAAAGCTCTATTGGGCGAGCAGGAAGGGAACGATTCAAAGTGCCGGAATAAGTTCAATCAATCGATGAAATAAGGCCAGGATTGAGAGACCGAGACGGAGTTCGAAGAAAGAGTTCGAGACGGATAGGTTAGAACGAGACAGATAGGAAGACAGAGACGGAACACTAACACAATCGAAATGGATCAAGATGTTCAAATCTGTAGTTAATTCAATCAATTCATAGGCCAGGTTCGCTCGTTCTATTCCTATCCAACTCAAGATATGCTATTAAGATATTTCTTATCAAGTCAGAAGGGAACGACTGTTAAGGATAGGGTAGGGAAAGCGAAAGGTTTGTTGTGCGAGACATAGTAGGAGAGTGGTCTAAACGAGCAAACAGAGAGACCAATCGAGATGAGACGAGCGGAGCTACTCCTTCTTTAAGAAAAAGAGCGAAACCCGGATGTTTAAGCTGCTTCGGGCACGCCCGCTAATGGTTTGTAATGTCTCAGCTTCGGAATGAGCTTGAAAGCCATGAGAGAGAGATGGACGTGGAAGGATAAAAACCTGCTTAGGAGCGCGAGTGGTTCTCGTGTAACTGACTCCAAGTCTAACCGACTTGTGAGCCAATCCTTGGGAGGCGCGTTAGCCCTCTCATCAAGAAAACCGTGACACTTATTCTGAAAGAGCACCACTTTCAGTGCCAACCTTTGGAGGAGTAAAACCCTCCATGAAGGCGAGTGGTCTCGTGACCTAAGGAGTTGGCAGGGGGAGTTTTGGAAGACGTACGAGAGGTGAGGCCTGAGGGCCCATCCGAGGACTGAAATGAAAATGAAGTAGGTCCTCAAAGTGGTCCCTTTGTGCCTTGATCTCTCCTGGATGGTTCGATGAATTCAATCATCTCTTCTCAGCGCTGCCAGATAGAGAGTAATCTCTTCTGGATTCGGTGTTGTATTGGTGACCCGCTAACCACGGGGATCCTTATTGCATCGGCTAGGAGATAGTCCAGTTCGTCTTGAGACGAAGAGGGCAAGAGCTACACCCTGCCTTTAGTTAAAAGCTTGCTGGATTGTCTTTTGGTAGTGCGGCCCGTGAAGGGCCTTTTAGTCTCTAGTTATGAGACTGCCTGTGAGACGTAGTAAACCTCACAGTAATGATAGTGTGGCGCGAGGTCTACCAAGACCAAACGCTCTCTGTCATTGGGAGGCTGCCGGGCGATGGCAAAACCAGCGTCGTTTGAGCGTCTTTGTGGCTAATCGTGAAGAGATCCAGAGGATCTTTCTTGTGGGGAGGAGCTTTGATAGCTTGCAGGGCTTCAGCTAATAATGCGTCAATAGTTTGACGCCCCTCAAAAAATATTGTCCAAGGAAGGAACTGGGACCTCTGGGCTGGGATAACTGAAAAAGGATTGGTCTATGACTTCACTGCGCTTCGCTTCGTTTGTATGGCCTTTCCCTGCATTATATACCACGTTTCATTTTCATAGCCCCACCCACAAGAACTTCCACTTCTGTTTTCCTTCCTAAAGGTAGCCCTCCACTTCAGGCGATTACGCTCTTCACGGGTTGGATTTCATTTTTTTCATCATCCCGTCAAAGTCTTGTCGCGAGCCAAGTAGAGTGTAGAACATTGACAGGGAACCGCGAGGAGAATTGCATCCAGGGCCCGATCTTCTACTGCCTACCTTGATTCATGGGGCAGGGAGCCAACATGGTTGATAGCAATTGCACCCAGGGCTCGATCTACGGCTGTAAAGCTTTCCCATTCGCATGCCTTAGGCGGGGGGTCACCGCTCGATCTTTGTTTCTTCAGAACGAGGTCCGAATAAAGGCGGGAATAAGGGCAGCACTTCCTTAAGGTAGCCAAGCGAGCTTCGCGGATTTCATAGTTTCATCGAGGTCGGAGGGTCAGCCAATAGTCAATTCACTAGTAGATCGGCCTATGAGATGATTAAGGAGCCTTGCGGACTCCCATGTAGAGGGAGAAAGCTGGGATTGGGTTTGGAAAGCTAACCCCAGAGTCAAAGACTTCCTATGGCTCCCCCTCCAAGATAGGCTCCCCACCAAGAACGACCTGCGTAGAGGTAGGATTGTGGATCAAAAGATCTTCGAGGGCTGTAACCAGGAGCCAGAGACCACTGAACACATCCTTCGCCATTGTCAACAAGAATTTGATTCTTTTTACGAACCTGATATCGAGAAATTTGATAGTCTAAAAATTCATTTCAGCCAATTGAACCTTTTCGAACTCTTTCTTTTTAAGAACCAAAAAGATTTGTGCTAAAATAACAGATGCAAAGAAGAACAAAAGGCCTTGGACACGTAATGGATCTTGAAGTACTATTTCTGCATCTCCCTGACCAAATCCACCCACATTGGGATTACTCGTTAATGGTTGATCAAATTTGATGGATTCACCCTCTGAAACAAGAAGTTCTGGTCCTGGAGGGTCGATGTAATTGAGACTACTTGACGTCCATTCTCAATAAAAGAAGGAGGATGGGGAGATGACTTGTTATATAGGACCTCGGGTTGCGGATTCATTTAGAGATTGCTTCTTTTGGGGGAGAACCCCCTTTTAGCTGCATCAATAGTGCCCCCTCCTTGCCCTAAGCCAGCCTAGTCCTATACCTGCCTCCTACTACCTTTCCCAAACGCCCTTGAATCCCTGCATCATCCTCTTTCCCACATCTGTCCTCTATCCGCCTATTGGTCAAAGGAGTCTTAGGAAATTCCATATAGTGAGCACTTCAACTAGTAGGAATGATGTCCAAAGGCAGTTCCGGGTTAGTCTCATTCACCTTATCGCTTACCTAGAACCATAGACGACCAACTGGTCAAGAGAGAAGGAAGCGGAGAAATGACAATATTTGAAAGGACTTTCCCTATCAATAAAGAATTCAATTAATCAACGGGGAATTCGCAGACAAAGAAAAGGTGTTTACACAGACTACGAAGGAAGAGTTTGTATCCGCATTAACTCTCTCTTTCAATACACACACACTTCCCCTAATGTTTCTAATCACCTACCCATAGAGTACCTATACTCTCTTCCCCCCGTTGCTTAGCTGCCTTAGTTGAAGGTTTCAATCCTCTCGTAGGTTGGAATCAGACCACTTTCAGTAGTTTGATTGGTAGAGTTCTAGATTGATCAATAGGACTTCGCTTACGTAATCTATAGAATAAAGGCCCTATCCCGACATCGAAAGCAAAGATCTCATAGAAAGAATCATCAAGCCGGTTCCATGGTTCAGTTCGAGCTTGGGAAAATATCATAGTGGTTGAAGAGGTCTGGTGTGAGTAACCAAGCCGTAAAGAAAGTAGAGAAAGAGGGTTCACTCTAACGAATTGAGAAGCTCAGTTTGAAGTCAAGTATAGATCCCACCCTGAACATGGGCCGGGGATTGGCTGCCTGTGGCTTTCTTTCCAAGGCTTTTCTCTAGGGTAATTCCATCCAAGCTTCGATCATTCCATCCTCACCTTTGAATCGAAGAGGAATCTCTATTTCATAGATCCTGACTCGGCACCCGTACTATCATATGCTTACTTAGAACCTGTCTTGAGATGGGAAGGAGGAATATCAAGGAAGATGCACCAACATGCCAAAACCAGATGAATAGGTGCTAGGATAGGCTAACTCTACCACTAGCGATTACCTTAGGCTGAGAACTGATCTCTCCCTTTTCCGATCTTTGAAAAGGTGAACCGGATTCCAAGACCACCCAGGCACTCAGAAGACCTACCCTACCTGGTATAAGAGGCACCCCCTTGAGTGGACGAGAAAGAAAGGATTTCTCGGAGTGAGAGTTAGCGCTGAGAGCTGACAAGACGGATTTCAAAGAACTCTAATTGGATTATCTTCCTTTCCTTTTTTAAGTCTTTGTTAATCTACAATTCACTGCTGAGCACATCTCTAAAGCCTTCGAAAATCGATTCAATTGAGTTTACTTCCTGCAAATTGCTTATGTAAGAACTAGTAGAAAGAAAGGAATAAGGATCGATTCAATTGAGGTTCGAATAAGGGCAGCATTGATAGATCGTTGAATGCTTGAATGGGAATCGTCTTAGCAACTGCCTATAGACATGAGTCAAAGCCGCCGAGAGAGGAGAGAGAATTTGAATGAGAGAGGGACGAGCAAGTGGGAAGAAAATGGGTAGGCCTTTTCTGAGTAGTCATTCCTATTCCTTGTTAGCGACCCATCATTCTTCCCTAAGCTGTCAGAGTCCGATCGAAGCGAGCAAGAGATAGAAGAATCATCGCTCATAGATGTGAATTGAGAAAGCAAGCCCGAATTCTTTTTCATTAGGCTCTATAGTCTGGTCCCTACCTACTTTCTATGACTTCACTTCGCTTCGAAAAGTTTGTATGGTCGAGCATATTTCAACCTCTTCCTTCTTCCTCCATCGATGCGAGACTTCAAGAAGAATGAATAGACACAACCACGGGTCAGGTGCCGGTAGGACGGGGACTCTGACTTCGATGGCTACGATCACCCACTTCCTTGACCAGGCCAGCTCACTTTCTTACATTTCTTACCGGTAGACAGCCCTTAAGCTACCACTCACGGCACACAAACTATATTACTGGATCTCCCCAGTGACAAGCCTTTTACGTATTACTATCGCAGGGCTTTGATGCTGCCTTGGCTGAATCCCTTGGGTACGAGCATTGAATGATTGATACCTTCAAGTCAGGACTTAAGAAGTTCGATAGGCTTCTTTCTTGGCTATCTGGCTCTGGGTTGGTCTGTTGGTTGCTAAGTAGCTTATGGCTCTCCTCTTTTTCTTTAGATTTACAAGTATTTGCTTATAGAAAGGCTGGAATCAAAACCATTCTTTGCTTTGGTCGAGTTGAGCCTAGGGTCACTGTGTCCGATCTAAGAAGATGGACTCAAAAGCAAGGTGAATCAATGTCTCTGGCTCTGCTTTAAGATCATTTTAAGTAGGTGAGTGATCCGTCTAAGTGAGGGTAAAGGTTTGAAGATACTCGACCAAACAAACGAAGCGAAGCGCAGTGAAGTCAGAAGTATTGGCCCCGGAACACCATCAGAGTAAGCATTTCGAATCGTAATTCTTACTTACAGCTCCGTTGTCCCGCTAGAGTGATGGCTTAGTTGCCCCGCTCCTAGAGTTCGGCTATTAGATGGATTCTATTTATCCCGAAGCAGGCTACAACCATACTATAAGTACTGACTACCACTCGTTCGATTCCCACACATTGATATTGATTGAAATGAAAGACCGGGAATCACCCTTTTAAAGTCAAGCGCATTTCTTCTACTTCTACCCGGAGAACTGGGGATGAAAGAAGGTCCGGCATCTATCCAGACCGGCAACACATCTACTTCGTGTTACCTCTTCCAGAACCTCCCCTGTCTTTTAGAATAGCTCCAGTAGCAGTGGTTGGGAATGTAATATTCCCCCTATCCATTAATAGGACTTTAGGCAAGATAGAATCCAGTTCAGTTCGAGATAGTAAGATAGTCTGCGAGTATAGTAGGGCTTGCTGCTTTCGTATGCTAGACTTTGAGATCCTTTGGGAAAGAAATTTCACTATAATAGTGATAAGTAAGAATACAGAAGCTAGTAATTTAAAATAGATTATCTAAGTATCATATTTAATATCGACAGGGGCACATCAGTTCTACAGAGGAGGGTCAAAAGTCAGAAATTTCACCAAGAAGTGAGCAATCCTTTGCTTTGTGGAATACCTTATTTGAAGGTCAATTATATCGAACCTGTTGCAAACCTTCTCCAAGCAAGCCAGGTTACAGCAGAGTATCCTATTCTCGTGGGACAAGCCAGCTTCCTTTGATTCTGAGTTAGCCTATTCCATCAAATGCAAAACAATAGATCCAAAACGGGCGAAATCTTACGTGTTAATTAATGAACTTAACTTAGTATTCTATGAATATTCTTATAACCTTCCTCTGGTGGAAACCCTTTTATTAATTAATTATAATAGCCGTAGCGCGTGTAGTAAGAGCCCGTTAGCGCCGAGTATTCTATGAAGAATCTATAGAGAAAAAATCCCCCCCTTCTCCCTACCCTATATTCGGCATCGGCCTTACAGGAGCATAGGCCGAGATATTGAGTGGATTGCCTCTATCATCCGATATAGAGTGGGATTGAACTAAAAAAATGCGAAAACACATTACGTTTCAACTGCTGAAAGTTGCTGTTAGTAGGTTCGAATGTGGAAAACCAGGGTAAAGGCATAGATAGAACGATCTATCTAAGGAATTCCGAGATAAAGCGATATCGAACGCTCATTAGACAATACCGAACCGAGCTAACAAGTATAAAATAGACTCTGAGTACCGACCGATGTCCGCTTTGGTAGAGGTATGGCTTGCCAAGGTTGGGGGGCATTCCACTCAAGGAATTACGTATGTGAACACGAGTGAAGATTCAGCCTTATTACGGGTAGGGCTATTATCCCAGGTTAGTCTGCTAAGTCTGCTCCGGAGGAACTATCCGATACGATATCGGACTCTCATTTAGCGATATCGAACCGAGCTAAGGTGGAGCTCTGGCATGAGGTAGAGTACCGACCACTCTCTTTCTTAATGCAACGCGGGGTAGAGTAAGAGGTTATCTCACTAGGCTCAGGAAATATAGGTTCGAATCCTGGACCTTTGAAGGAGCCTTCTAGGCCAACTACTCTGATCTCAGTAGGTGCTATCGGCATCTCAGCCGATCTGATGGTTCTAGGAAAATCATTGAATAAGGTATTCACTTCGTTCAGTCGGTATATTCGTATATCCCTTGCCCGAGCAATGAACGTAGTTCACAATGGGCGGGGCCCCCTACCATTAGTCAGGGATCTGGAATTCGGGTCAATTATATCGAGCCTTAACTTTGTTCGGTCACTTCGGAAGTCATATAAAATACCTAATTCTATTGAGTTGATTCCATCTTCTTGACTTTGTTCACATTCTGTAGCAGCTTGCTTGTGTTCCTTCTAAATTACATCTATCCTGCAATAGGCAGCTAACCTCTATGAACTAAATCACACTACTCTCATCCCTCTCCCGAGGTAGCAACTATATGTATTCGTGCTTCTTAAGTCGATGTTGACCTGTATATAAGCCAGATGTTGAAAGGGAAGGGTAAGCTCCCCATAATATGAGTACTCTTTCAGTCAAGGCTTCGCCTCTTAGCCTTTATTATAGTATAGTTGAGTAGCTAAGAGCTTATGGTAATTTAAAAACGTAGGGATCGACTTCTTTTACGTTAATGGGGCTTTGAGGGACGTCTTCTCTTTCCCTGGTCAAGCAAGCCACACCTAATCGCCCTTGATGCCATCTTGGCGGTATCGGTGTCCAGTCCGAGCCACTTGCCGCCATCAACGCTGCATACTCTGTCTTCGC